ATTTCAAAAGACCTCAGTGGCTCTGTTTTACAAAGAGAAAAAAGAACAAGGGAGTAATTATTTGTTGTAAGGATGATGTATGAAATACTACAATGAGAAGGTGGATTAGTGTGACACAAAGTACTGTACAGTAGCAGTCATCTTTAGGGTACAGTGCTGAATTAATTCTCAAATTTTCTCTCCAATTATATGTTTAGTACCACATTTTATTGGCAAAACCAATCCAGGTTCAGAAAATCACAGGGTTCAAATGGATCTAAAGACTAAAGATACGTCTGTTGATTTAGTCAATGATTTTTTTTTTATGCAATTCAGTGTGATAACTTTGTAGTTTGTTGATTTAAATCATACTTAAGTAATCCTATTCAGTATGAGCTGAATAAAACCTGATCAGATGTAGGAGTGGTCATATGTAGAGTTCCACAGGGATCAATCTTAGGACCCTTACACTTCCTAATATATGTTAATGATATTAAATCTGTATATTATTGTGAGTGTTTTCTGTATACTGACGATTTGGCTTTGTTAGTTGAAAATCTGTTTGTTGAAACTGGGCACATTTCACTAAATTTGGGTACAATTACCAATAAGGTTCTGTGTTTAACAGCAAGTTGTGTGTAAATGTCTAAATGGCCTGGCACCAGACTATTAAGAGCACACTGAAGAGCATACTAGCAACCAGCAATAGGCCAAATTTAGCCAAAATGTAAAGATATTCTTTTGGATCTAAATCCAAAAGTCTGGGAGAGTTTAAGAGATAATGAGAAACCTGGAATCTATTACAGTTTTTAGAAAACAGCTTTAAAATATTTTTTAAGGAAAGAGATATGTACTTGTGTGTTATATGTTTGTTAACAGGATAAAACCAAACCAAATGGAGGCAATACATTACAAATATTCCTGTAGGTCACCCTACACTTCAGATGACGTAGGAAGCCCCACCGCGCTTTATAGTTCTAATGATTTATCAGCTTTTTGCACTGGCTCATTTACCTAGAATAGCTGTAAAATCAATCTGTCAAATAGGAGCTGCTGGATGCTATCAAGCCTGCTGACATGCTGTGAGCCGTTTATACTATGTGTCAGTCACTCCACGTTATGCTAATTACTGAATTAAATATCCCATATGCAACTTGCAGCAGTGTAAACTAATGTGCGGGAATCAAAGGATGGAGACCTAGTCTTCTTAATTGGAGGACTTGCACCTTTTAATCTACTGAACTACTAGGACTACTTTAGAGGCGAGAAAGCTTTTTATATTATTTTATGTCTTATAAGCCTTGTGAAAAGAAATCACAACATGCTGAGAAGGATCAACAGACATCTTTATGAGAAAAGAAACCCTATCTGCACAGTTTAAAGGAATACATTAGGGAGCTTTGTCTAAGCAATGTAGACATAAATAATATTTTGTTACCTAAAAGGGGATGTGATTTCTTTGCACCATCTTCGTGGGTGTTAATACTTTCACTTAAAAACGGAGCATGTCTTCATGAATTCATTTAAAACAAAGACTTACAGCCTTGGGAAATATTTAAAGACTGTAATGAGAATAAAAAACCTCAACCTGCAATATCCGAGCAGCGTGTCTCAGAAGTTTGACAGATGAAAGAATACGTATCTCAGAATTTGTAAGGAGCCTTCAAAACAGGTTTTTACCAAATTGTTTTAATGTTCAGATTAAAAGAAGAAAGTAGAGCAAATGGAAATCATTAATTGATTTGTGGGAGCTCAAAACAGCAGAAACAAACATTTCCGTCTTATAAAAGGGGGGATTTTGACAGCAAGCTCTCTATCTTCCTTCCATTTCTCCTTGCTTTGAGGAGATAAGTGGGAAACCGTTAGATTGAGGATGAAAATATACTGAAACATTGTCAACCAACATGTACCAGCGTTTTCCTTACAAAACAATGCCTAGAGGGACAAACAGGCCTCTTTAGTTCCTCACAGCTGTCAGAATGCTTTTGCATTTTTTGCGGAAAAAAACCTGTTCCTATTCTTCCAGTGAAAAGCCTGCCACAATCATGTCTTGGTGTTATGACCATAAACAAATTAAACATCTAAGCCATTCCGTACCAAATGAGCCACTCAATTATAACCTTGAAATTGATTCTGGCCACAGCGGGGATTATTGATCCTCTAAATGTTTGTCACAGTGCTCCTGTCAAAAGTGAACAGGAGTGCTGTAAACAAACATGTTGGTCTTAATGTTATCTGCATTACAGGCTGCATCGTTTAAGATATAATATAATCCTTTCTAACTGATTCAGAACCCGTCAAACTTTTTGGTTTTTAGCATATACTCGGCACCACCTTTCTTTGTATTCAAAAGTGAACGAACTTTATGTCACCTCGGTTTTGGGGGATTTCAAAATGGTCAATTGACTATACAGTACTCTCATGAAATTAAGTTATCAGTGCTAAACAATGAGTTGCGCCTGCCAGACTTCTGTCACGTCCTATCACGGTTCTGGCAAGACGCGAGGCAGGTGCGAGGGAGGCGAGAACCTCAGCTCAGGCTAAAACCAATCCACCAGCGCTCTAAGAGGCTTTCTGAAAGTACAGCGCAGGTGCCACTCACAAGAGCTTTCATTTAACTCCCCCATATTTGACCACTCTGCTAGCAGTTAAGATGGGAATATGAAAAGGCTCTGATGCTGCACACTAATGTCTATTACACACTGGAGATACCAGGGTGACGCATGTAATGCCAGTTCAATGAATAGTACAACAGTTTTTTCATTTTTAAACACAGACCCTTGTTTTTGGTGCCTACTTATTCATTCAAGAGGCTGCGGTCTCCCAGGAATTTTCTGAGAATATAAAACTTTTTTTTTTTAAATAGCAGCAAAATATAATTTCATGCAAACACCCATTCTGTACTCCTGTTTACAGATTGTGGTGTCATTTCTTGAATATTATCTTTTTGGGTAACACATCCAGTCTTGAGGTCAGATTTTCTACCGTCTATAGGTAGGCATTACATTAATGCACCCA